TTCCTGCTTATGCAGGGGGTCGGACTCGATGATCTATTGAGGTCCCTTCCGACCCTAACATCTATGAATCTATGAAAGGATTAACAGGGGCGCAAGTGGTAGGGAGGGATGCGGGACAAGCAGATAGATGGGGGACAAGCAGCAAGGACAGGTGGGAGGACAAGTAGGAGGGACAGGCAGCAGGGTGCAGGTCTGGGGAGCGAATGGTAGGGGAGCAAGGTGCAAGGTTCAGGATGCCTGCCCTCCCCTCCCCACCCCCATTGGTTGAGGACAAATTTAAGATGATCCCCCAGTATTTAGTTCCTATACATGGAAAATTAGAACACATTTATAATTAAATTATAACATATTTATAATTTTCTATGTATAGAATCTAATTAATGAGGGGGTGTCTTCAGCTTGATGTAATCTTGGATTTGGGTAAATATGGTAATATAATCCAAAAGAACCAGAGGCCAGAGTATAGATAACAAATCCATTGTGAGTGAACAGTTCTGCATCTGTTTAATTCTAAGTGTTTTAATGGTGATGGTGATGATCATCATCATAATTTATTAACAGTCAAATAAAACAGAAAATGTGTGTCTGCATGTGGTGGACCTATGTGTTTATCTTCTAATGCCACCAAGCTTACTATACCAGTACTGCTGTAGAAAGCTAGTCCACTAGAAGCACTGAACTCTTCAATGAAGAACTGGGAAAGGGAGATGTGTTCATCTGTGCTTAATGACTCATTCCCATGTTTCCAGTACAGCATCAGGTCATCTTCATTGTAAGCATCTACAAGAGAATAAAAACTAAATTACCAGCTCTGCCAAGACAAGGCTGTCATGGTTTTCCTTGAGGGGGATGTGTGCCCAGCACTTTAAATTGGATTAAATTCTTTTGCACCGCTTTAATGGTGTTGGTGTTTGCACTCATCGGCAGCATATTGCGCAGTAATTCCAGCCACTGTAGCAAATTCAGTGGCATAATGCGCCTTATATGACTTGGGGCATAGCAAACTAAAACTCCTCCAACGAGTTTTAGTTTGGTGCCCTACAGCCGCAGAGTGAAGCACCAGGCTCCATAGAGCTCAGGTGCTCTGCAAGAAGCCCTGCAGGCAGCCTGGCATCAGCCTGGGAAGGCAGGCTCCACCTAAGGAAAAAAAAAAGTGGTGAACCTGATCATTTTTTTTTTCCCCCCGGAGCCTGCCTGCCTACCTGAGCTGTGTGGGGGCCTGGTGCTTCCCTTCACAGCTGTGGTGCCCCCTGGTACTGCCCATGTCAGGTGCCTGCGGGCGGGTACTACCTGGGAAGGAGCCACTGCTGCCATGGAGGGAAGCACCAGCCCTGCCCCCCAGCCCAGGGACTGCTCCACCCACCAGCAGCCTCCCCTCCCCTCCCTGCCACCAGAGAGACAGGTAAGTGCACGGGTGTGTGCATGACATGGGGGTTTACTTGGCCCTAAATTGAAGCAGTGTTTTAAAAAATCCACTGTTTCAGTTTAGGGCCCCTGTTTCATCTACACACACCCTGAGATAGCAGCTTGTAGCTGCTAATTAGAAATGGTGGGGAAAAAGTCCAGCAAAACATTATTTCTGCTGAATGTTGCCAACTAAGCTAAAATGTTTCCAAAAATGGTCAGTTTTGACCCAATTCTACTTGGTAGCCTATAAGTAGGTTGAAACCTAACTTAGTCCCTAAGTACAGCTCCCAGTCATCACCAGACACATTACATTCTTGAACTGGGGAGACTGCAGTTTCTACTGTTTTTGCTAATCAGCAGAAGGGCAGGATCTAAAAGCCTTTGTACCCTGTTTTTAGTTGAATATTTTCAGAACAGCTTTAAAAATGAATTATGCCAAAGGACAGATGGCTCTATCTTTCCATAAAGGATTCTCCATAACTGTGGAGTAGGAAAGAACATTCTTCCTTTTAGCCTTCCAAAATACATGCAGAGTTCTTGGGGTTGTTCTGGAAAATGCCTGGGGGAGGAGGGGGGCAGTGTTTCCTGGTAAGACTAAAAGGCTCATCTTCAAAGCCAATGAAACAGGGGACTTTACTGTCTACATGTACATTTATGCTATCTTACATTTACTGCACTGTAAATTACTGCACAGTAAGTAGGAATAGGCCAGTGTCTCCACATGCAGGTGTGAAAGCACATTAATGCTGTGTGTGGACTGGCTTGGGACTAAAGTTAATGCTAAGTCAGTCCACACACACAGTGTTACTGTGCAGTAGGCATTTACACATGCATTACTGAGCAATGACTAATTGCTCAAGTCAGCATAAGTCGCCATATTTACTGCATGGTAAGGGCGTGCACATGTAGATGTGCACCTGTACTGCACAGTAATTCTGGTTACTACGCAGTAAATGCACATGTGTAGACATGCCCAGAGTGTCTCCTGAGGGGGAACTACTATGGACAAACTGGACCGTGGATAGGAACACATATAGAAAGTACATGTTGCCATGCTAGAGTCAAACTTACAGCTTTCCAGTTCTAGAGAACAATTCTGTGTGTCCAGAGGAAACCTACTGAAATCCATGAAACACATGGCAGAAACTGTTATCCTATAAAAGGGACAAGAAAAAAAATAATGACAATGTTTATAATGCCTAAAAAGAATTGGTGACTTAGCAGCATCTTACTGTGAAATCTCAAGTCAGTTGGGTAGAATCCTGGCCCTTCTAAGGATTTTGTTCTTTGTCATTTTGTGTGATCCTGAAATGACCTTTTTGTTTAAAAGGTAAATCCAAACTGGTAGGAAAATGGTTTATATAAAAACCAAAACAATATTTTCTAACTTTTTATTTGTCTTCAATTTTTAATCACCCTGCTGGCCAGATTCCTGCTCCTTCCTATCTGAGGTTCAAGGTGCTTGCTCTCACTTTAAGGCTTTTCACGACTGGTTATGCTTTCAAATTTACATCTTATCAAGACCAACAGGGGAAATTTACAATTCTTGGTGCTTCTTTTTCTAATCTTCTCATGGGTAGACCCAAACAGACAGCAATGTAGCACAGCATACGCCAAAAACTATTTTCACAGTAAGACTAGAAAATATAATTCCATAAAAAGATAACATTTTTAACACTGTCCCTGTCACAAACACACTTGGTATCTTACATATAAAAATTGCTGGCATGTTTAACATCTGAGCCCTAGGTTGCAGGAGAAACCAAGTAAGGATGTTAATTCTGTCATTCCATCTGGTTTTCCATGAATATGTGGACGATAAGTGTCTCTAACATTTTATCCAATAAATAAAATAAAAGGTTAGAGGCAGCAGTTCAAATTTAAATACAGGCTATAGTTTTAGTTAGTGCTACATTTCCCTGTGCTGTAATGAGCTTATCTTAGATTTGACATTTTGCATGGAATCTCCAATGAATTTTTATTCTGAGTCAAACTCAAAGTAAATCTTGTTGTGGTTATAATTGAATTTCAGTGACTCATGGCTGATGATTGTATTGTCAGTGTTTAAAAGTGTAGGATTTTAACTGACTGAAATGATGTTCTGAAGCTGACGTCTTTAAAATTTACACTTCTGTGGGTTTCAGCTTATGTAGCTGCAGAAGATTCAATGACCAGCAGCTGTATGTTGGTTTATAGAATGAAGACCAGGTTAGCTAATTTAAAAATAAATGAAATGCAATATTTAATGCTGGGTATTATGAACACAAAAATGGGGAATATGCAGATTTTCCACAAATAGTCTGGACATGGATAAAACAGTATCCTTTGAATGTAAATCTATCAATATCAAAGGAGGTTTTTTATGATCATTTGATTCTTTAAGAACACAGATACTGAAATAACTCAGGTTTCTGCCCCACTGCATGGTCTTAGTCATTCTAAACCTCATCTAAACCAAAGAACATTTCCTCTGATCTGTCACATGAAAAGCTGAAGCTTACATTACACTGAAATCAAAAAAGCCAGCACAAAGCCTATGTGCCATTTAAGTCCCAGGTCAATAGGAATTATATAGCTCACGACTTCAGGCTGGACGTCTGCACTAGGGAAAATGTTGTTCTTTTAAATAATCTTTGCCACATCATCTGATGTGCATAAGTCCCCTCAATATGAAAATAAATGATGCACTGCAGGTGGCAAGGGCAAGTACTTGCTTAATGTTTCTGCTCTTGTTTAAAACACCACCCAAGTCATTTTCATCATGCTGGTCAGTAGGTTATCCGCTCCACCTACCCATACATGTGTAGCTCCCATAGATATTAGTGGCAGTGCCTTTGGGGGAAAATATCAGTGCTAATATCTTTCATGCAGATATGAGAAGAGATTTTTGCTGTTTGTCAACAATTTGTAATTTTATTGGACTTAGTGAACAAAAAGACACAATGAGCATTGAAGTATTAATAAAAACCATTGACCGCTGGCTGACATTAAAAGTAACAGTTTTCCAACAGTAGCTTTTCTTGCAGTCCTTGATGTTTCTGTATTTACATGTGAAATTAAGAAAAAAGAAAAAGATATAAATATTTCAACCACCACACAACAAACTGATACATAAAATAACAGAAAAGTGTATTGACTGTAGTGTCAAGGCTGGATTTGTTTGCATCCATTAATACTTATGCCACTAATATTAACAAGCTTCAGTAACAAGCCATTCTGGAGAAAAGGATGTTAGTCTGGAGAGGAGAATACAAAGGGGGGATTTGCTAACAGTCCTCAAATACCTGAAGGGTGGTTATAAAGAGAATGGAGATTGATTATGCTTTTGGTCCGATGAGACAGGAGTAGGAATAAAGTAGCAGGGGAAATTTATGTTGGAGATTAGGAAGAACTTTCTCATTATGAAGATGATTAAACATTGGAACAGGCTGCCTAGAGAAGCTGGGGAATCTTCATCCTTGGATATTTTCAGGAGCAGCTAAGATACTTGGCTGGGGTTGTTTAGTTAGGAATGACCCTGGCTTGAGCAAGGGGATGGACTAAATGACCTTGTGAGGTTCCTTCCAGCTCCACTTTCCTACGATTCGATGATCCTGATAGATTCTGAATTTAAATTACAGGCAGTCCTCGGACTTACGACACAATTGGTTCCTCAAAACTGTGTCTTAAGTCGAAACGTTGTAACTCGGAACCAATTTTCTCATAAGAAACAATGTTATAAATGGGGGATTGGTTAGTCAACCAAAGCCTGATACCCTATTTTCTCCAAAAATACCCCAGAATTTTGTACTTGATCAATTATAGATGAGTAATATAGCTATATTAACATATTTATATTGAAAATAGCAATCATTGATTTGGAAGGACTTCTTTGAGGTGACTTTGCTGGACTTTTTGAAGGGCTCTTGGTTGAACTTTTTGAAGGGTTCTTGGCTGGAGTCTTCTCAGGAGTCTTGGCTTTAGGTTTTTCTGGAGTCTTGTCTGCTTTCTTAAAGAAAGTGTCCAAGGAAGTTTGGACAGATGATCTCTAGGCAGTTGAGCGATGTAGCAAACTTGTTTGCTGGCGAGGCGTCTCATTGGATTAAGCGTTTTAAAGTTGAAACAGGGTGTCAATTTATAAATGTTGTTAGTGCAAAACGTTGTAACTCGAAATGTTGTAAATTGAGGACTGCCTGTATTTGAAAAATCATGTTAGCTGACACAGGATCAGCTGTAGGTACAGATGTACAAGTCGGCACAAATTCCTAAAGGCCCTTCAGTGAAAGCAGAGATTAATATTTTCAGAAATTTGAGGATGATATTAAGATCCACTTTTCCTGTATTTAAAAATACAGGACCAGCCCTCAGCTGCCATCTTTATGAACAAAGTAGCAATCTCAACGTAGTGAATAAACTCAGGCTATCCAACCTTTTAGCAGCCAAGGGTCACACACTGCATGGACCACACCGGCAGGGGCTCTAGGCCCCCTCATCTCCCTGGCAGTAAGATACCCCAACAACACATGGGTGGCAGCTCCCCCACCCCCACTGCACTGCACCCCTGCTCCTCCCCACACACACCTCCTTGGCTGCAGGCTCCCTCCTGTACTATGCCACAGGTTCCCCTGGCACTGCAGGGTATGCTGAACCATGCCACCTACCCTGCCCTGCTCTGCCCTAAACTACCCTCTAGGGAAAACCAGAGAAGGGAGGGTGAGCCAAGGGCCCTGGCTGCAGCACCAGCTGGAGTGATAAGGGGAGCAGGGGCCAGGGGAGCCTGGGGTGGGGAGGGGAAGGGGGCACAGTTTAACCCCTTAGGTGGCACAAGCAACCTGTGGGCTGCCAATTGGACAGCCCTGGAATAAGCTAAAAACAAACCTTATTGGGAAGACTTGATGTTTAATGGCAAAGATACCAGATTCTTTCTCACTAGGTAGTACAGTGACTTCTGAGCTTGACCAGCCGAGGCAGGAAAAATTATTCATGTCATATCTTGCTACTGATACTTATAAGGCAACATTGTTCTTACCGTAGGCTGAAGAGTACATTGCCATCAGGGTATACCCGGAGCATGACATTCTCCATAGTTGTATCATGGATGAAAGATCTCTTGGAGTGGACAAAGAACACATCAGGTACCCAGATCTTCTTTATCAGTCTTCCATCAAAGGTCATGCTTCTGTTTTTGGTACTAGGAAATGAAAGCCTCTCGTCTTTCCAGTAATGTCTGAGGTATAAAGTAATTGTGAAGTCCTTTGTGTAAAGTAAATTAAAAGGATGAAAGCATGTGTTATCGTCCTGCTTCTGAATACAGCAATGATAAATAGTAAAAGTAATCAGGCCAGACAACTTTGAGCTATGTCTCTGAACTTCATAAGCAGAATCCTCAAACCACAGTGAGGCCTCAAGAGCATTGAGAGAGAGTGTGTTGTGGATGACAGATGCCTATGAGATGTCTGTTGTTTGCTCCACTTAGCTAGCACTAGTAGTTCAGGCAACTGAGGACATGTCTACACAACTCTCTGGGGGCTGGAAATTAAGCCTTGCCCACCTGCTCCTGTTCTGTATGTTCCAAACCCAGAACTGACACAGCAAGAAGACTCCAGGGATATACCCAGCAGAGCTTTCTGCTCTTTCTCTTGCCATGATTTATTTATATGCATATATATCATTATTATTTTCATCCAATAAATCAGAATTCCTAAATCTAGCACACACCAGGAAAGATCTGATTTCAGCTACATGCCTGTGACTACACCAGATGTACCCCAGCATAACAAATCCACATAACACATATGTGCCATGTATTGACTTGGCACATATAAATGAAAGGTATGTTCACTATAAATGAAAGGTATGTTCTTGCCCAGTGCTGTGGACAGAACCAGAACCTGTGCCTTTTATTTAGGTTGCCTGTTACTTTCCATTCTAAGGACCTGTTTTCAGCTGACTATGACTTTGAAAAAAAATTAACCATTTGGGAGGAAATTTTTGATGCTGGGTATGCCTCAAGCCTATTCAACTGTTTCCAAGGATGGAACTAGAGAAAAATATCTTGTTTCTGAATGTTAGGATCTGTGATCTTTTCTTTGAAAAGCTTCATCATGCCATGTTTTGAGGAATTTGGCATTTGGCAAAGAGTTGTGTGCATCAGGGATATATATTTTTTCCTGTTCCTTTTAGCACCTGGCCAAATTTGGCTACATTATAAGTTCTACTGTATACAGTAGCGTAGCTACACTTAAATTTTCATTGTGTTTCACAAGGTATTCAATATTATGTATTAATCAATGTAGTTATAAACTAGCACAGAGGCCATTAAAGGTTTCTTGATGGATGTGTTTAACCATAGGCTATAACCTGGGGATAAACATGACTAGGAACCTGTGTGAATACAGAGCACCTAAGGGCTCACACCAAAAACAATAGGAATAGCTGAGTGCTCAGCTTTTTAAAAATCAGAGCTTTACATGTTGTGTCCTTCTCTCCTGCACAAGTGAACAATCCAGCACATAATCACATGTAATACTTATTACTTTCAGTGGGAATTACTCCTGCATATCGAGAAAAGAAAATACCCTTTTAAAACTCTACTTCTTTAATTATACCATTCTAGATCAGCATTTTGGAGGGCTGTTTTTGAGGCACCGGTGACCCCTGAGTTTTCATTTCAATTATGAATTCCATTAGTTTTAGTAACGGAACAATAATCATAAAATTTACCATGTCAACTTCAGAAATGCTGTCAATGCTTTCTATCTGCACATCAATGCCTACTGGGATTGGTGACCCTGCAAAATAATAGCACAAAAATGAGATGAGAAGTACAAGTGCTTAAAAAGAAGACAATATTTTAATTTAAACTCTAAACCCTACAGATTGCTACCTCCTCACACACATTCTGCCTTGGGTCTATCCACTGAGACCATATCAATACCTGAAAGAAACTATGATGAAACTTGATTATAAGAGTACATATCTTTAAGCAAACTCGTTGCAGTCTATAGGATATCACTGAAATTTGCAACATGTCCCTGAAGTCTGTGGAGCAGAAGACAATTTTCTTATGATTCCAAAGCTTTCTTTAGGATATAAACAGACATCACCAAATGAAATGGATCAGCAAAACAGATGTTGCCCTGTTGTCTCATGGGATCTGGCTCCTGCTGTTTCCTGGATAGGAGTAATTTCTCTGCCAGTGGGGAAAACCAGGGTTTCCCTGTTTGCAGAGACAGGTGCCCAGATAATTCCCTAGGTGTGCATCTCTGCAAACAAGAAAACCAAGGTTTCCTCATTTGTAGACACACCCAGGGAATCCCAAACAGGGGAACCCAGACAGATGCTCCCAGGGCTTCAGGAGCCTGATCCTACATGCCCCAAGTCCCTGCACTCAGGATTGGGTCCCTGAAGCCCCATGGGTCCCTGCTCAGGGCAGTTGGAGGGTGCAGGCAGCTTCAGGCTGCCTATGCTCTCCTGTCTTAAAGCAGACACTGGCTGCAAAATAGTGGCACAAAATCAGACCACCTCTATTGTGGCCACAAATTTGGGGCATTTGTGGTGTAACAAGGGACATGGATGTCTGTTTCCACAGCCTTTGTGTCACCATAACAATTTTTTTGGTGGCACAAAGTCAACGTCCATATACAACCTTTGAAAGTGGTCTATGCGGTATTTTAAAGAAACAATGGAATATCTCATTTATATAAAAATGTAAAATAAATTAAGGATAAAACAATGAAAACAGGCAGAATGAAACAGCAGGAAAGGGGCACAGTTATTTTGATGTTTCTTCCTTTTCCTTGCTTTTGTTCACATCAACAAAGCCAAATAGCCCCCTTCCACCAAGTTAGAGAAGACACCTAAAAGAGCAACAGAAAATGTTCACTGCTTCCTTGTTCCCTCCATCTCTCACTGCCACTTGGATCTTACTGTTTCTATGCAAGTTACCAAGTGATATTTCTTACATACTGTTGTCATTACAGTGGCAGCCCTCATACAGCATATTGGAACAGTGTGATTTGTCTCGATAGGAATCTTAAAATGTTCTCAGGCATTTTAAAACACTGCTGTGCAATTCCTTTATTTCACCTGCATATTTTAAGTGGGACTTGATCCTGTACAGCTCATGTAAGTATCTTCTGTGAATATAAATGCGAAGTAAAAAGTGAGCTGAAAGGCTGAGAGTACTGAGAACTAGTCAACAAGGTAGTTTTTTTGTAGTTATCTAATATAGGAGCAAAAGTTACTGCATTTCCTTTAAGCACCACACTGCTTATTCTAGCATCTTGTTGGGGAGAACCAAGCATGAAGAAGCTTCGATTCTAGCCTGATTTTTGTCAAGTTCTAGAAAGGCACATTACAGTGAGCCTCAGGACACAGCATCCCAGCACAACCATCAGCAAACAAAGGAAGCACTCAGCTATGCTCCCCAGTATAGCTCCTGCAATTAGGCAAGAAGGACAAAGTGGCTGAGCAACATGATTAATGCAATAAGGACTCATAGTAGAGATGATATCTTTTATTAGACCAACAAGATTTTTGCAAAAAAAATTATTTAATTGCAATTAATGCAGCATTCAGTTCCCCTTCCATCATAAGACTGTGCCTCTGGTTTTCATGTTGCATATATTTACAGAGCAACCACCAGCAGCTCACTGCAGGCTCAAGTCAAATGAGATCTTTCCCTCCAATGCATGTTCAAGGAACTATGTAGTCAGCAACAGTATAATGATGTTCCCAGGTGCCTGGAGCAACTGCCACGTTATGGGGCAGCAGCAACTTCTGGTTGCTGCCATGGTGCCAGTGAGATCCTCTAGCAGCAGCTGTTCCCCCTCTTCCCCCACAACCAAGTCAGTGCCTAGCTCACCCATCCCAGTCACCCCCTACCCTAGTTACAGCACTGATAGTCAGGGCTATGCACATGTTGCTGTGCTCTCTGCTTATAAATGTAGTAACTCAGTTTCCTTATGATTCCTGTGCAGTCCACTATGGGATCTAGTTACATCAACATTTTTCATTTGAAATTTGTTCTTACTAAAACTGGCTTTTTAATCACAATGGACATTTCCACTGGGAACATCTGATTTTGAAAAAATAATGAAAAAACGGACTTTCCATTTTCTTGAACAATCCCCCCCTCCCCCATGTAGAAGAAAGAAGCGAATTTTAAATCAAAGCTACTAGCATGACATTTCATTTTCAGGTCAAAAAGTATTTCTTGCCCAGCTCCAAGTAGTACTCTATCAATTGATAGCAGAATAAAAGTTCCATTAGAGGAGAAAGATCGTATCTTTATTCTTGAGAAGGGGGAAATCGCAAACATGACATTTTAACTAAAGTATTTAAAATACAGGAAATGTTCAGATCTTTTTTGTATAGTTAAAGAGCCCATTCCAGGGTAGAGCAGAACATAAAGACAATGGGACAAGTTCTGCTCTCCATTATACTGGGGCAACCTTAGTGATTTCCTAGTGATTTCCCAGAATTTGGCCTCATGTTTTAAAAGCACAAATTAAGCTTGAGTTTCCTTCTCTGGATTTTCCTTATTTCGGATTGTCTGTGTTTAGAAAGGATCTTCTGAGTCCTCAACCTTTCTATTAGCTTCTTACAACCCTGGTTGAGGGCAAGCTGTTTCTTAAGAAATCTAGTGACTGTTTTTCAGTACTGGTGCAGCTACACTGGTGCTAACAACAGCAAGAACTATGGTAGACAATAGACATGGCTCTGGGGTTCTTTACACTCATATTGGGAAAACTTGTTCAAATATTATTATAAGACCAGAATAGACAGTAGGGGCACTGGTTGGCGGTAAGCAGAGAGGCAACAGAAGATGGATAGATGTTAATTTAAGTGCTATTGACATTTTATAAGCAATAAAATATTGTATCAAATTACTACCTAGGTATTTTGCAAGGCAAACTCTCCATTCTGCCCCTGCTCTGAGTGGGATAGGTGTAGTTTTATGTTTAAAAATGTGATGGACAGCAGTGGATCATAATCCTTACCTGTAATGAACATGCTGTGTTTTCTTTTCTTTTTGTAGTTAGAAGAGACTCCCTGCATGTGAAGTGCAAGTGGGTGGTTTTGTTGGGAGACAGTTTCTAGGATTGCAGGGACAAGTATAGACCTTATAAAACAAGGGTGGCTAACCTGTGGCACTTGTGCGTGTGGCACACAGCAGATCAGGAAGGGAAAAAGCAGAGCAGAAGACAGGGCAGGAAGCACAGGGAAGGAAACAAAAAGCAGAGAAGCAGATCAGGCAGGGGAAGGGGCTGGAGTGGCACTGGGGGTGGGTGTGGGGCTGATTTGGGGCACACCTGCCAAAAAAGTTGGCCGCTGCTGTTAGAGAACATCAGAGAGGCTGATGAAAGGGTAGATTAGGTACAGCTGATTGTGACTCGATCATATTTGTTATGTGCAAACAAAATAGTCCCAACCAGTCATACTTTGCACACGAAAAGGACAAATTTCAAAAAGCTGAAAGCAATTATAAGCCAAGTCAGCTTGGACAAATAATTTAAACAGAAAAGAAAATTGGCAATCATTTAAGAACATTTTCCTAGGTGCCCCAAAATCCACAATCCCACCATAGAAAAAGAGACCACAGTGGTTGAGGGGAAAAAAAGCAAAAAACCTAGCTTATATAGGAAGTAAAAGAAGTATAAAAATAACTTTGAAAAACCAAAAAGTAGAATAAAGGGAAAGTTGACAGTGGGCGCATCTACACATGATATTAGTGCACCTGAATAAACTCCAGCACACTTCAAGCTGCAATTTATTGCTCCTGGGTGCAGCTTTTACACATGCACCCAGGACTGCAGCACAATGAACCAGGGTGGCGCAGCTCCAGCTGGCAGGAGGTCCGGGGGGTCAGCCTGCCAGACTGGGACTGCTCCAACCTGGCTCAACGTGCTGCAGAGGGACTGGCTGGAGCACAACGGTGCTATAGTATGGGGCTAGCCAACAGGCAGACCCATACTGGAGTAAATAACCCTGCCATAGGGTAGTGTGTCTGTTGGGCAGTACTAGCCTATAGTGGAGTTAATTAACTTTCTGTGGCCTAAGAGCACCACTTGAGTAGATGGTGACGCTTTACTGCAGAGGTAATGAGTCAACTCCGCAGTAACACGCACATGTAGCTGTGCCTAATGATGACTATAAATCAAAGCAAGGAATTGTATCAAAGTGATAAGGATAAGCAAAAGGCCACAAGGAGGAATCTATGGTTGGCAGATTTAGGATGATATATCTAAATAACTAAATATATTAGGAAAAAATAGAATTCTAAAATGCAATTCATCCATTACTGGATGGAAATGCTAGAATTGCCAATAATAACACAGAAAAGGCAGAAGAATTCAATAAATGTTTCTATTCTGTATTTGGGAAAAAGTTGCTACAGGCGATGTTAAACAAGCATTTTTTTCTACCCAGCTGTACATTCATTATCACCTCATCTTTGAATTCTCCAACCCCTGCTCACCTCCCTGGTGCTGAGCTAGAGCACATCAAATTCCTGATCCAGAAAGTACAGGGAGTGATGATGACATCTTCATTCACTCTGATCCTAACCTGGCAAGGAAGATAAGCCTTTGACTAGCTCTTAAGGCAAGTGTAGCCCCAGTTACTTCAGCGAAACACATGCTTACAGGTAGTCATGTGTTTAAGTACCTTGCTGAACTGGGAGCTTTCTGCATGTTGTCCTTCCTCTTCTGTGCAGCAGATAGAGTTCTCAGTTTATTAACACTTCTGTTAATGAACTGAGAATTTCAGTCTCTGTGGCAAACAATCA